TCGCTCGAGTAAAAAAAGTGTTAGAAGGACAAATCAACATCGGCGGGTGAGGAGCACTACAAGCCAAAAAAATACCGAAAAGTTATGAGCTTTATATTTAGGGATAATAAAAGCAAACTTAGACTTAACTTAATGTTGTCATTGTTAAGTTAGTCCAATGAGATCAAATTGTATAAAAAAAACTTTCACAAACTAACGGAACATTTCAAACATACTGCTTCCAATGTTTTTATTAGTCTTGCTTTTTACATAAATGTCCAGTAGCAAATATTTCATGCATATGCAGGTTGAGAACAAATTTAAAATAAATCTAATATAATTTTATTATATTTAATATAGGTTTACAATGTGGGTCGACCGGGATTGGTCGGAAAATGTAATTTAGACTGCCACTGGAAACGAGAGACAAAAATTGTGTCTTGCAAAGAGTTGTTTCTAGGGTTTGTTTACGTATAGACAGCGTGACGGTCTTCCTACACGAGACATTGGATTAAATGTCCCAATTATAACTCGGACCTGGCTGCGTATTTACACACCCCAAATAGCCAAACGGATGTCCCTCTGCAGCATAGATTAAATATAGAATACAAGAATTTCAGGTAGCCATATTTTCTATACCCTAGCCGACTTGGGGTGCTATTATTTGGGTTGTTCCTCTTTTATTTATGTTTTTAAATGCGTGCCTTCGGTATTTGTATCTATATGCGAGATGTATCTCCCCCTTACAAGCAGAGCCGCACATGAGAAGCTTGGTGGGAGTTGAAGGCAATTTTGTTTTCTGAAAATATTTCACTCGGATAAAATAACAGCTTTATGATCATGGTGTTTTGTTTTTCGTTAAAATTATGAGTTTTTAATTGTTAATGTTTTTTTCGAACCGTCCGAAGTATTTGCCAGTTATAAAATGGTATCAGTTACGCGTAGACTGCAAAATTATCAGTTACGCACATCATTGAATATTTTGTCCTTTCCATTACGGACATCATCTCGATTCTTTTAACAGTTTACTTCTTCATGTAACAGAAACCTATACACGGGATACGTTCCAGTGTTGTAACCTTTCAAGATATACGTGTATAACCACACAAAAAATTCGAAGAATTATTTCTTCTAGTTTTTTTGAAAACTTTCGGAATTTTTGGCCCTCAGTGCTCATCAACCTCGTACTTTATTTGACCGTTCAACTTTTTTTTTATTCCGGCGTCACTGGTGAGTCTTTTGTAGACGAAACGCTCGTCAGGCGTACAAAGCTATAAGCCAGATATCTTTTTTCCCTCACTAATCCTCCGTCTGTCATCTTTGGAGTTACGGACATAACTTTAACCCCGATCTTAATTTACATGTGATTTATTCTTCGGACATCTTATTTTTAAACTTTCTAATTTTTTTTGGAGAAAAAGATATAGAATCTGGAACCCTTTTTTAAAGTAATTGTTTACCTTGTTCATTTTTCAATGAAATTCAGAATTTTTTATTAGGTTTAAGGAATAACTATAATTGATAACAATATTAATCTATTATGTTCTTGATAAAGGGTTGCTGCTCACAAAGCTGCTATCAAATCAAGTGTTCCAAGTGGTGAAGTTGAAATCAACCCTTCGTTAATTTTACGGACCGCATGACGAGTTGGTTGACAGTTAGGGAATATTTGTTTCACAGATGACAACGGATATGTTCCAATTGTCGTAACCACAATCCCGTCCTCTTTTCCCTGAATATGACCTACCGAATGAGACTAATCGTCGGGTTTTTGTTTTCATGAGCAGCACAACGGGTGCCACATGTGGAGCAGGATCTGCTAACCTTCCTGAGCACCTGAAATCACCCCCGGTTTTTAGTGGGGTACGTGTTGCTCAGTCTTTAGATTTCTATGTTGTATTTTGTGTAAGGTTGTTTGATGATCTTTTTCTTTTTTAGCCATGCGGTTGTCAGTTTATTTTTTTTCTTATGAGTTTTAATGTCCTTTTGATATCTTTCGTCTCTCTTCTTTAATTAATGACACTATTAAAAGAAATCTGATAATGAGGTAGCCGACAGAGTCGGCGTTTTGCATTTACGGCAATCTGGACTTCATTTGCGCAAATTTTATTTTTCATTTGCGCCAATATTTTTTTTCATTTGCGCCAATTTACAAGTAAGGAAAAGTCATGAGACGTATAAGATATACAGACTTTATTGATATAGGAAGAAAAATACCCCTTCCGTCTACCATCTGCCCCTTGCTCACTATGGGAAGGTGGACAATTAGATTTTGAGCAGGATAAGTTTATTTTAAAAGTTTCTAAAACGATATACATCACACGTAAAATAGCACTTTTTTAATAAAATGTAACAGATTGACGGATCTGTTTTGCCTCACTCTTGAGGTCAACTGTAACGTGTTTATGCTCATTTATAGTTTTTACAATTTTTATTCCATCACTGTCAGTGGTAATCCTAGCTTTACACGACTTATTTGTACATCCGTACTTCCATTTTTGAGGATGTTTGATTGCGTATAAGAATGTCCATCAATAATTATCGACTTATTTCCCCGGTTTGTTTCTGTGCGCAAAAGATCCATCTTATCATAACAGAACATCACTAACTTGCTACGTTAGGTTAACTTAGAAAGGTAATTATCTAAAATGTATCAGATCTTACCTGTTCAAAAAAAAATTTAAAAAATGGCGCAAATGAAAAATTAATAATTTGCGCAAATGAAAAATTTGTTTTGGCACAAAATGAAAAAACAAAAAAAAAAAATTCAAAATTGGCGCAAATGTCATACGCCCAACAGAGTGTCACAGAAATTCGTACTACGAACCTTATTCTGACACAAAAGCTTCATAATGACGAAAAATGCATGTTGTCTGCATTTACTTTTCTAACGAATTTTTCAAACGATTCTGCCAGTTTTGACTGATAATCCTTCAAATCTTACTACAGCGACCATAAAGAAAAGGTTAGTAAGAGTTTGGTGTGGAAGCCAGAACACAAATATATTTATCATTTTATTTCTCATAAATCATAGAAAAATTTCTGGTGACGTTATTAACTTTAAATAATAACACCATAACATATGATAATCATAAACATGTTAAAGTAACTTAATAAAATTACTAATTCGAAAAAATTCTTGTGTAGTCATAACATCAATCAGCTTGAAATTATACAAAATATTTAATTGTCTAATTGACTATTTATAACACATACAAATTATTTTTTGAATAATAATATTATTACAAACAAGTAAAATTTTCACACAAAATTGCATTGACTTGTGCGATAAAAAATATATTACATTGTTATAAAAATAGCACTTCGTAAACATTGCATTTTTTGTGCATACAGTCCTGGCATCATATTTACAAATAAATAATACATAAATAAATAAATAACAATGAGATATTTTTTTTACAAATTGCATTGTTTTTGCATTACATATATTTAAATTGCAGTTCAGACAATATAGAAATAACACAGGAAAATGAAATAATTGGTTTTTTTTCTTCTTCGTTGGAATATACAATTGAACTATTAAAATGCTTTGAAATAACTATCTAAGTAAACATTGTATTTTTAAAAAATTGTTTATGAGAACATTAATAAACATTTTTTTTATTTTCCATATTTGTAAAATTCAGACAGCTTGAAAATGAAAACTTCCATTTTTAAATGACTATTGACTTAAAAAAACAAATACGCTTTATCAACCTTGAATTCAAATTAAAACATTTATTTAACGAAAAACTGTTTAGACAGTATTTCCTTAAAACATAAAAACTAAATTATCAGCATAAATACGTAGAAAAGCGAAAATAAAAAAAGCAAACTCATATTTTTCAAGAATAGACTGAATTGTGATATTAAAATGCAATTGACGAAGAACTTTATGAGCTAGTAGTTCTCATGTTATACGTGAATCCTCCTTTTGTAGTTGTAGTGGAGATTCCCGAGTATTAAAGTGAAATTAATAAAATTTTACGTAAACCGCTTGAAAAAAGATATAAAAAATATTCATCCAAGATTTACGGAATCAACCAAAAAGGATAGATTGCAATTACTTCTATTATAGCCATTAAATATTATGTAGCTTACTGTTCCGTTCATATAAAGTCATTTGCACAGAGTAGACTGGACACTACACCTGCATAACAATCACTACTTTTTTTACTACCAGTATATGATGATTTAATATTTAAAAAAATATATAATTTTTGCATTGTGTATTTATTTGAATTGTTTATATGCCTTCAACCCCGTAGGATATAAATGTGCATTTCTTAAATTAATAAAAAAAAATATAAAGCAATGGTCAAGTTAATTTTAAATAAAGAACTTCAGTAAAAATTTGCTAATAGTCAACGCATGTGCAATCTTATAAACTAAAAATGTTAAAAATGAAAGCAATTATTAATAAGTTTTCATTTAATTTAGATCAGGAAATTGCAAGACAAATTAGTTTATCTTTCGTTTTATTTTAAATATTCCTACGCATCTTCATGGATACTGATTTTTATTGGAGCATAAAATATAAGTTGATAACAACTTAATTGTAATCTGTCAGTCAAAATTGATGAAATCCTAATAAAACAAATATTTAATGTAATTATGAGATATTTAAATTAGGATATATCCAGGCCTCTGATGATTCAATCGCATACCGTACGAATGTCTGATAACTATATGCATTATTTATGTTCCTGGTGCAGAGTAAGTTATTCCGTAAGGCGAGTGTGGAATGGTATTATGAAGAAATCATATTTTTCATCATTTTCCTGCAACATTTTACTTTACTCTGATGGTGAGATTCGATTAAAAAATATGGTTTTAACGTATCATTTAAACATTAAGTAATTTACAGTGCATCTAAATGGAATTTGTATACACACTTTTAAGAAAAATTTATAAAATATGGCACCAAAATAAATGTGTTATCATTGATTTCCTTGTCCTTGCTAAAGTTGAAGTTTGCTCGATCAGCGAGTCAAGGGTCGGGACTCATAACCACGACAACTTTTTAAAATGAACACTTTGTTGTTTTTGAAAATAACATTTTTTTATATTTCCAGAAGGATTTCATTTTTATAAATACAAGCAGGATTTCTGTGGAGTCAGTATAGGGTCTATTGATTTAATGTCTTTCAATAGATCATGGTGTTCCTTGGTTCTTTGGAAACATTTCAGTTATTTGTTCAGCACGCTGTTATAATAAACGTTTGAATTGTTGATAGAAGACTGAAGGTTATATATTGGTTTGTATCCCAGGATTCGTTTGGCTTTGTCATAGGTCACGTGAAAGGTTTTATTCAGGAAACGTATTCCTTCTATGTTGAAATATGTGTTTACCTTTTTCCACGGTCTTATAATGCCCATCACAATTTGCACAATAATAACGAGGACCAACACCAGCCATAATGGAATATACCACGAGGAAAACGAATGTCCTGTTCCATCTAGGTAAGGTTGCAACAAACTTGGTAACGTCTGCAGAGGGGTGTCGTCTGCTGCATAGAAATATTCTCCACCTATATCTACCCCTTTGCGCATGACTTCGAGTGCCTTGACGAACATCATTGCTACATTACCGACGTACGACACTTGAATTTCAGCTTCCATTTTACCGAGCTTTGGAATACGTGGTATTAGAGTACCCTTCACGTGCGTCACGTACTGGTATACAAGGTTGATGTCTAATTCTCCATACATTGCTAATGGCAGTATAGCACATGTCTTTAGTTCTTTTCCTGGATAAAAAGTACAGACGTATATATGTAATAAAAGGAATTTAGTTTCTGTTAAAGACACCTTTTGATAGGAAAGTACATGCCGTGGTAAAAGCCAAGCTAAATGAGCTAGACTATGAAATAATCTGCGTTTCCTTTCACTTGAGCAATTTTAAAAAGCTAAATATAAAAGATTCTATCGACTTTCGCAATGTCTCTTACCAAGAAATGTTGTTTGATGAACATGAATCTTTAATTAATATTTATATTTCACATTGTAAAACAAAAATTTATTAACTAGTATACATTATTGTTAAGGGACACGCTGAAGCCCGCCTCCCAGTGTGGGATTTTCTCGCTGAGTTGAAGACTCATTGGTCGGTTTGGACTGGTCGGGTTGTTGTCGTTTTGTCACATTCCCCGTTTCTATTCTCAATTCTATTTTCCTTATAGAAAAAGTAAAAAAATGTAGATGACATGGTATAGTAAGTGCTTGTCATCAGGTTCAAGATGTGGAAACCATTGTCCGTTTTAATAATATCTCATTATTTCGTTATTGAGGAAAAGAAATACAACTAAACAACCAATTAAAGAACCAAACAACAATAAATAAATAATTCTAAATTATTGTCTAATTAAGGATTGTCTATTTTTATAAGTTGAATTTATAATTATATTTACCATTCTTCAAAATGTCTCCATTGGCGCCGAGCACCATATTCTGAGCTTTAAGCTTTGTCTTTGCATACTTTTCAAACATAAACTTATGAGGTATAGGTACTGTTGTTTCTGTTCCCTTCTTGACTTCATCATGCCCAACATAAATTGAAATTGAACTGCAGTATATTAGAATCGGAACACTGTTGACTTTACATGCCTCTAATACTACTTCCGTGCCTACAAAATTTTAAGAAAATAAATCGTTTGTAATTTTTACCTACTATAAAGTCGAACTAAGGTTAATCAAGACTAAATAGATATAAGAAGATGTGGTATGTGTGCCAACGAGACAACTCTCCATCCAAGTCACAATTTGTTAAAGTAAACCATTATAGGTCAAAGTACGGCCTTCAACACGGAGCCTTGGCTCACACCGAACAGCAAGCTATAAAGGGCCCCAAAATGACTAGTGTATAACCATTCAAACAGGAAAACCAACGATCTAATCTATATAAAAAACGAGAAACCAGAAACACTTATGAACCACATCAACAAACGATAACCACTGAACATCAGGTTCCTGACTTAGGTTACATGGTTAACTTTAGGTTACATGCAACTGTTATTGTCGAATTCTTTTTACCGAAGTCTGTTAAAGCATCATTCTGCTTGAAGCATGTGTACTTGTATAATCACTGACGAAAATCTACGAGATAGGGAGTCATTCAGCCTTATACCTAGTTTTCTGTTTCCATGTAATATTTGCAACTGGCAGTAAAGTTCACAACAATAAAAAAAAATATTGCGCCTTATTCATATTCAAAATACCGATTTCAATACGCACGATGTTTACTTTTAGAATAATGTAAACCAGGCACGCTCAACATTACAAATTAAGGTCGTCCTGAATATGCATGAAATATTTACCACTGGACGTTAAGCAACCAACAATTAATCATTACAAGTTAAGGAAGCAAATTAACGAGCATTAAACATCGCATATTTAGAAGAGAGGATTTAAAAGTCAAATCTTTTTTCAGAATTGCAACCCTAGCTTTTGAAAATTAGTATCATTCATGAATAAAAATTAATGAAAAGTAGAATGTCATTTGTATCATGCAACCACCAGGTACATGAACGATTGTACTTATACGATCATCAAATACTCTTTGAACTTAATTAAAATGATTTAGTCAATGCTTATACATGTATGTCAGACATGTTACTTGTTCCATGTTTTACTCCAGACAATACATAAACTACAATGTGTTACTTTACATGTAACTTTACGTGTACTTTGCATTTTTGTTTTTAAAGTGCCTCTTATTATGTTTATATGTCAGACGTGCTATAGTTCCATGTTTTTTTCCTTCTCCAGACAATACAAAAACTACGACGTACATGTATAACTTTACGTGTAACTATGTGTTACTGTATGTGTATTTACATTTTTGTTTTTTGATGCCACTTAGTATGTTTATATGTCAGACGTGTTACTTGTTCCATGTTTTTCTCCAGACAATACATAAACCTATATATATACGACATGTAACTTTACATGTATTTGCATTTATGTTTATAAAGTGCCTCTTACTATGGTTAAGTAAACATAGATTCTTTTATGTATTGTGAAATGTAGAATAATAGATGATTGATTTATTGGTGTTATATGCCATTTTCATCACTATTGGCTATTTCGTGGCGGTCAGTTTGTATTAGTCGAGGAAGCTGGAGTGCCCGGAGAGAACAACCGGCCTTCGGTAGGAAAACTAACAATCCTAGTCAATTAAGATTGGAGTCGAAAGCACCTGCCACGTTTGGGATTCGAACTCACAATCTCAGTGTTGACAGGCTAGTAATACAGGAGTTAGATTACTTAGATAACTCTGATACCGAGGCCCCTGATATATAGACGATAAACGATTCCGTAGTATACATGTAATGAGGAACTTAGCATAGTAAAAGTTAGGTTTTTTTTCTCTTAAAATAAAAGTATTTTACCGTTGATATTAACTTCTTGTAATGCCTTTTCATTAGGAAACAATGTGGAATCCACTAGTGACGCTATGTGGAGCACAGCATCTGCTCCCTTACACGCTTCACTTACAAGGTCCTTGTTAGTGATACTTCCGGTGAAAGACCGAACTGGGAAAGATTCTTTATACTCTGAAAAGATAAAGTGATACTTTCGGTGAAAGACCAAACTAAGAAAAATTCTTTATACTCTGATAAGATAGAATTAATATTAATTTTCCGGGCAACAAACAATACACTATACGTATTAAGTTTATTAAGTTTTACATGTGTACATTTACTCGTTTTCGAATTATCGACATCCGCGTATGGTGTATGTATATCATTCTGGACATAATGCTGCTCAGCACTACCTAAGTGTAACTTTGTTATACAAAACCGGTTGAGTCGAGTTTTCCCGTCCAGCAGTAAGACATATGCTCAGCCAAACGGACATCCCCTAAACATGGGTTTAATAACAGGACAGAAGATGGCAGAATGGGACATAAAAGTTTAATAAAAAAATGATACCACCAAGAAAATAAGTCACGTTTGTAACAGAAAATTAAAAGGAGAAGAAGCCATGAGTTGAAGAAAAATACACAATACCATGTCACAAAAGAAGAACGACGAAAACAACTGAATGAAAAATAATACTTTATCAATGTCGGAAGCGCTTTTCTGGATTTACCTTCATCAGGAACGCTCAAACTTAAACATTTGAAAACCCCGGATGTATGAACCAAACACATGAAGAAGTGGAAGTTTTAGTTTGGAGTTACCGTGCAGTTTTGTAAAAAATTGTGAAAAATGTAATATATAACAATTTTTAGTTGCTGCCATTGTAGAATTCTAACAACCCCTGGAACGTCGAGGACCGTCTACAGCACAAGAGAGTCGGTATTTGATTGATTGATTGATTTGTGCTTAACGCCACTTTCAGTACTATGAGCTATTTCGTGGCGGGCAGTTTTTATTAGTGAAGGAAGCGGAGTTTCCGGAGAGAACCACCGGTCTTCAGCAGGAAAAGTGACAATCCTTGTCAATTAAGATTGGAGTCGAACCCACCTGTCACGTGCGGGGTTCGAAGTTACAACCTCAGTGTTGACAGGCTTGTGACGAAATTGTTTAACTACTTAGACCACTCAGCCACCGAGGCCCTTTCGGTATTTCAGAGATAGAAAGAAGGGTTATGGTGAACTCAGGTTTTGTATTTAGAAATTCTTTTGTAAAAAAAAGCCAGTCATCCTGATTTTTTAAAACTTTATGGACTCTGAATATTATTTACGTCATTCATAATCATATGAACATTCACGTGCTTACAAAACTCAAGATAACTCCATATCAATAACAAATTGTTCAATAACAAAAATACGGTCATTGATACATCGAAATTTATTTATCATCATTTACAAGTTAAATAAATAATTGTCTGGGTTAAAGTTGATTGATATAACATAATATGTCTCACTTAATTACTGTTATCTTGTTTATTGTTTACCTGTCTGGGTACATGTATATGTACTGAAATAAAACAAATAGTTGTAAATTAAATTAACTTTCTAACGCATGCGTACTCGTCACGTAACCCATTAAAAATACTTTTATACATTTCGAAATATTCAGATAAAAAAAAATTGAATATTGAAATATATATATATTTTTTTTTTATTTGTCAATTATATTGGGATCTTTCATTTTGGTCTTGAGCGTATATCATGTACTAGATATCGTCCAACTTATGTGTCAATCAACAACATTTGATCTATTTAATTACCAAATCATTTAGTGAAGGTGAATTATATTCTTACTTATGATGTTAAGGCACTTTAATTGATTTTTTTCTTAAATGTTCCTTTTAAATAGTTGTATATACCTTGGAAATTTATGTAACAAGTAATATGTCAAAAGGACATCATATAGAACATATTTACTGAGTTTCAAGGTGATGTGACCACAACATAATAAACTACCTTGGATCAAAACCTTACCCTGGTACGGGAAGAAGGGAATAACGGGCGGACGCCCAGACTGAAAATTAAAGCGCACCTTTTATACCGTAGGCGGTAACTAGAAATATAGATAACCTGTTCCATAATTTCAAAGGGGGAAATAATTCTTAGGCAAACAATATAATCTTGCGTCATTATAAGATAAATAGGAAAAAGGGGTTACCCATTTTTCACACAAATGTTTAACAAGAACGTACCCAAAAGAACACAATGTCCGCCAGCACATTCACATATTTGCATGTTTTCTGAGTCAATCTTATTTTATTCTGATACAGGACGAAGGATTTGGTTAGAATTTTTTTAGTTGCTCATTTCTTTTGTACTTCCTCAGTTATTAAATTTTACAGCTGTTTATAAGATAGTGGACATGAGTTTGTTCTGCAAATAGCTGATGTGATATGATTGCCAATGAGACAACTATTAACCAGACCAAATACTGACAAAACCTAAAAAGTTAAAAGTGCACGATAGGACAAAATGTGAAACAATCCAGATCAGAACCAATCGCCTAATGTATCTTTAAAAAATATACGATAAACAAATTTAAAAAAAAGGGGACCAACGCCAATCACTGTATTTCACACTCCTGACTTTGGACCGTAACATGCTGAATATGGCGGAGTTAAACATGTTTGCGAGCGTTTACTCAACATATGGTAAGCAAAGCACTCTAAAGCGTGTAGATAGCTAAGACTTAATTCATTTATATCTATTAACTTTTTTATGTTTTCTTGTTTCCGAATTGACCTATTGGCAGTAACGAATTTTCCGTTAATGTTTACTAGGTACGTCCTAATTTTTTTCCCAATATAAAAATATACGTGTCGGTTTAAAAGGTAGGACCTGTTGAAAGGTACAAATGTATGAATTGCATAAGATTGTTACATTATCTCTCTGGTCTTTCATACTGATGTACTATACATAATAATTAATATTGATACTACAATAAAGTATTTAATAGTAACTTATTTCATTCAATCCCATTTTTAAAATTCCTTCTTTTTTAGCTGCTTCAGTTTTTCTTTAAAAGCGATTTTCATCAATATAATTAAAAAATTTCTATTTCGAAAGGATTTTAAAGCTTTATTACTTGAAGACGGCGTTTTTATTTTTTTGTTTTTGTTTCCGACCAAATGACTTAAATATTGGACATCGTTAAAAAAAATGCGTAATCAGCATATTAATTAAATTTGAGTCTCGGTCAATTTTCGA